GAGAGAGAGAACGAGAGCGAGAGAGCGAGCGAGAGAGAGAGAGAGAGCGAGAGAGAGAGAGAGAGAGAGAGAGAGAGAGAGAGAAGTGTGGAAAAAGGGGGACAGACAGACACAGTAAAAAGGAAAGGGAGGGGGCAGGCTGCTTGTCCGTTTTGAAAAAGAAAAAGCTCACCTCGCAAAGACTTTAGTTTCCTCGATATAGGATGTGACCTCAAAAAGGAAAAGCCCCCGGCATTACCCTTTACTTTCTCAAGTCATTTTACCACCACAATTCATCGTCAACCAAATCCAGAATAAAAACAACGGCAGCAGCAACAGCGACAACACCAACGACAACAACGACAGCAACTACAGTAATTGCCAAAATAAAAACCTACAACAACAATAACAACAACCACAATAACGACAACAACAACAGCAACAGCAACAACCACAATAACAACAACAACAACAGTAATAATAATAATAATAACAACATCATCTACAACAGCATGCTTAGCGCCTTGAACCACTTAACACATCGTCTACATTCTTCGATACCATTCACAGCTGTTTCGGTTTCAAGAGGATTTGGTCGCAGCTGAAAGAGCTTTTTTTTTGTCGTCAGCAGACGTGCAACCAGACGTGGGAAAACACGCAAAACATAACTTCCTACAAATGACATTCTCATTGGTCGCTATTTATAGAAGCGGGTCTAAATTTTGGAGTTCACCCCCCATTACGTCAATCCGGGTTTCCCTTTTGTCCTCGTTTATATAGTGGGTGTGGAACGTTCGCCCTTTATTAAAGAAAAGAGTGAAGCAGAACGAAAACTTCTATATGTACCTGCGTCAGAAGCGGACAAAACGCTGGCCGGCAAAACAGCAGACGATAAAATAGCAGACGTGTTTAGCCTACCTTATTGCTGTGGGCCAACGCCTACGATTCACGAAAAGCAGACAGAGAGACAGACCAACGCACTTTTGCATTCCGTCACAGCCTCAGCTTGACGCTCAGAAAATCGCAGCGCGAAACAAAGTGGACACTTCGTGTTATGTGTGACAGACAGAGAGAGGGGGAGTTAAGGTTTGTGGAGATTCGTGCAGGGCTGTCGTCAGCTGTCATTTTGTGAAAGTGCTGGATCTGAGGAACATCACGTTGAGGAGGCTGAGAGGACACAAGAATTTTAGCATTCCAAGAGGATTAGTTCTGTTTTGAAGTGAACTTTTTTTTTCTTCACAAGGTACGTTGTCGTTTCTTTCACTAAAAAATACGTTCTACACTTTAATTTGTCTACAGGCTCTCATTTTAGAAGTTAATTAAGTTGTTTTTTCATCCCTGTTGTTATTTGGTGTCCCCGGTCTCTTTTTCATTCTCTCCATTTTTCTTCTTTTTTTCTGTTCTCACAATGCACTGTATCAACAGATCATGTTGTTCTCTTATTTTCAGTGTCAGTGATGACGTCATAATTCTAGGGAACTTGGAAT